TAATGTTAACATTATATCGCTTCCCTTCCCCAAAAATTCCGTGAGCAGCCCAACCTATTATTTAGGAACAGAAGGTAATGAGTTACTACCCTCGTGCTAGAGTAATGACACCTACCCGATTTCTCCTTGGCTCCGTCAAGATTCCACAGCTTTGCAGTCCCATCCTCTCCAGCTGTGATCAATACTGGTTCAACTGGATGAAACTAAAATAGTCATAGCAATTCGTGGAAATGGAATATAAAATGAATGTGAATATCTAAGCAAGTATAGTCGATTAACCTGCATTGCACGAATAGCGTCGAGATGAGAACGCAGAGTCAATTTCACATTCCATTTTGCTGCCTTTAAAGACTCCTCGTCGTCCTGAAAATTAGGAAGCATCTATGATCGATCTAGCCACGAACTAATGAAGGGAGAACGGCTCCTCAAAAAATAACCTCTAAAAACCGTCAACCCGTAACTCTCAGTGAATAAGCCTCCCCGCTGCTACGGCGGGGAAAGTTTATCATTTGGCAATACTCAGACTGATAAGAGTGCGATATGCTAAATGAAGACACTGTGAATTCGACGAGACTGGGTAGGATCGTTGGGGTGGTCCGTTGTCGCCAACCTCATTGGTGGAAGGGACGAGTGGGTGTGGTCAAACGCCTCTCGCAGCCCTTCCACCAGTGACGCTGGCAACAACCGCCCGCCTCCATCAAATGTTTCAACTCCCTTAGACAAAAACACGGCAGATTATGGAGGAACAGAGCGGACTGTTGCGCTTGACTGCTTCCGAATAAATGGGAACACGCACGTGTCTACATGCCCTTTTTTCGTCATTGCCTCAACATACATTACCTTCTATCACAATATTACTTATATTCCCCAGCCGTGAGGCAATTTCGCATGAGCTCACGGAAATAACGTCCACTATTAATTCTCATGCCTCATTCTACATTGAAGACCAAATTGGCGAATACAGTTTGAAGGTTCTGAGAGTCAACTATGACTTTGTAAATGCTAATTAATTCCCACGTAAAAAAACAGCTGGAACCGAAGATGGCTCTAGATTGGACAAGTGTTAGTAGGAGCGAGACAGGCGAGAGAACAGAGACACATCAAGAAAGAACAAGGATGTGCTGGAAGACGAGGGAGACCACAAGCTTCAGTCCTTCGCTGTGTGAACGCAACGCGGCACGCCTCCGCTTGTAGAAGCGGGAAGGTGAGCTCATCTCGTCCAGGAATATGACAATATAGTGGGCCGAGCAGGTGGGCGTGGTGGGTGATGCCAATCCCGATGGACGAGTTTTTCTGCCGGCCGTTTGCAAATGAGGGTCAAAGGGGTGGGTAAATTTGGTAACGATCGTCATCGAACCTTGTCCCCACTTGAATTCACATGAGTTTCGCCGCACGACACGCTGCGTGGAACGACGCGACAAAATACGATTGTCTCCATTTCGTTCCGAAATGGATAAGGCAAATGAACACCGCATCTCGCCTATGGCAGCCGCAGCCCTCCCCCCCCCCCCGCCCTTCATATACGGTGCAGCAGCGAAATTGCGGGCCGAAATACTTGGCAAGAGAAAAAATCTACGAGCGAGGTAATTGCGTAAGGTGCCTTCAATCCAGTTTTGTGGAGAACCAAACAATTAAATGGAAAACAGAACTCTAGAGAAAAGGAAAATAATGAGACAAGGGTTCCGATTGAAAATGACTAGGATGTCGGCGTTCGTTTTTGTACTCAGCTCCTCTATTCTCCTACGAAAAATAAACTAACCCAGAAGTCTTGCAACACATTCCCTTCCTTACCTCAATGATAAAGTCATCCTTAATGTCAATATTCTCATCTGGAGGCAATCCAAGTGCATCGTTTAGATCCAGAAATTCGCCCCTCCTGCCTCTTACTCCTGCTGGCGGATTGCCACCACTTCCGCTGCCAACAGAAATTACGGTGTCGTCTAAAAGCGCGAGAAGATAAGAAAAACTATAATGCAATCAGAAGAAGGAAACCTTCAGAATCGAAATCTTCAAGCTTCCCTTTGTAAATACGCTCTACACATGCAACATTTAATCGATGTTTCTCCTCTTAAAGAGAAGTGGGCAGCCACTAAACAGAAGAAAAACCCACTCAAGTTCAGCCTCTTATCTTCTGCATCATCCATGCTTCCCGAGCTTCTCTTGGTTCGTTTTTCACTTCTGCAGAAATTAACATTTCAATACATTAAGGACATGAAATGAATGAGAAGGAAACAAGTACTTCAAGTACTCACTTGTATTTCTCCTTCAAACGATCAATGACACCCTGGTCCGTGGCAGCCCATTCGTCACGTCCTGCGCCAGCACCTGAGGACTGCTCATGGAGAAAATCAAACTTTTCTAGTGCCTCAGCGGTTTCAGAATCTAATCCACCGCGTGGCGCATTACGATCATCGGACTCGGAGTCGCTGAAAGAGGGTTTTGAAAACTTGGTTTGATTCATATTTCGAATTGAACTATCTAGATTATAGAATACCTTTCAAACATTACAGAGTTACTGCGGACAGCGAAAAGTTAGAAAGAAGGGAA